AACATTTATTGGCATAATATAGTAGTTGACTCTGCTACGCATTATCATGTTTATTTAACAACCATTGTCTTGTGTGCAACTTGTTTTTGAAAGTATGGATTGCCTTGCTTTACCTGTCGAACTGCATTACTTTCCAAGTGGCCTTGCGGCTGTGCTTGGTGTTTTTAAAATGCGTACTCCCGCTATATGTTAACATGCAAGGTCTCCAGGAGAAAATGATTTTTCAATGTTATTTAATAGTGATACAAACCATAAAGACATTCCATAACCAGAAAACCAAAAGCAACGCTAGGGGTTACATTAAGTAAAAACAGAGGAAGGACTGTTCTAATTGCAGAGTCTTCATTAGTGGTGGCATTGCACAAGCCATGTTGACTTTTAGATCACATGTGAGTTTACAAGGCAAACAAAAACTATACATATTTTTTACTTGTAAATCTGAGCAAATTTGATGTGGAGTAGTTGAGAGACGACAAACATTCTACTCTTAAAAAAACAAAACAAAAAAAGAATAGTTTTCTTTGCATGCTGGTGGAAACTGCTTAAGGATTTTTGTCAAGTAAACATAGTAATTTGTTTTCTTATTGTTGCACAAGGGATTTTGTTCCCATTAGCATTAATGGACACTAACCAGATAAATCCTCCTGACATTGATGGGAAAGGATCTGTTACTATACATGCACTGCTGCAGCAGATTATCTCAGTAGACCAAAGTGGTTCCTGTCAATCGGATGAAAGCCTGACTTTAAAAGAAAAAAACATGCATAGTCTAAGGTTCCTATCGTACATTTGGGAGCCAGAATATTGTGTTCTGTAGTAACATGGAGATGATGAAGGGATTGTTTATAAAAACAAAAATGAGCCAGACAGTACGCTTCGCGTTAATAGCCTTGTGCCTGAGTGCCTCGTGTTGGAGGCTTTGCTCCCTTATGTATTTTGCTGGAGGACTCTGACCCACATCATATCATGGTTCCAGAGACTTTAGTCTCTTACCACTAAGTACAGCACTAGTACTGGAACTCTCCCAGGGCAATGATTAACCACTAGGTGATAGCATTAGGCTCTACTTCTCTGAGGCAAGAGGAATATTTTTTTTTTTTAGGCTTGTCCCAGGGGAATAAAGCCCTTGGCTGCACCACTGCTGAGAGAGCAGGAAAGCCTCCTGATGAGTTAGTATACTGCCATGTGAAAATCTAGGCTTTGGTCTTACTTGTCCAGAGGGAATTGCTGTTCAATGGCACAGGACAATCAGCACTGGTAATGAAAGACCAGGGGGATATTATTTGTTGTTTGCTGCTGCAAATGTGCCAAGTACTTGGCAGACAGGCACGAAGGCAAGGGACCTAGTTTGCAGGGTTTTACAATTTTAATAATAAAAATAAAAACTCACTGGTGAACAACTTTTAAAGAAATGTGATTTGAAGGGTTAACTGACATTCACCTTATCTGCATGAATTTCCTTACATTAAACTTAATGGAAAAATTATGCATCTCATATTTCTTAGTGATTCATTAGTTGGCACATCTGCAGAGGTGGAAGGCAGGTGGAGGTTCATGGGACTTCACAAACAGGTGTTTTGAGGAGGAGAGGGTGGAGACTCCATTGAACTGGACCTCGATTGGGAACTCCAGGCAGAGGGGTGCCGTCTCCAATGTTTCTAAGCAGAAAGGTTGTGTTCACCATATACTGATGATGATGTAGCATGAGAGAGTGGACAGAAGAGCTCTTTGGGTGGCGATAAGAATTCCAAAACCTATGGGTTAGGGAGAACTTTTAGGGACCGGTTTTTATAAGCAGAAAGCCTGGTCTTTCCCACTGTATTCATTGACTTTCTTGAGAGTTTTGAGAAGGTGGCATCTGCAGGATTGGGCCTCAGGTTGCAGAAATCATGGTCTCTGCTGCATTATAATATACAGTAGTGACTTTAAAAATGTTTCTCTTGTCTGGCTGTAAGTAATTGACCATGGAGTATATCTTGTGTGCATGATTAATACACAGAATTAAACTAAAGCAGGTGTCATGAATCATCTCTAATATTTAGTTCCCATGACTTGCCTGCCACTTTGCCTTTTCAATTTTACAGTATCATGTTACCTGCACTTCTGCATCACTATTAAACAGTCCTGCCATTATGCAGATTTCACTCCCTTTTAGGGAAATAACTCTTTGAAAAACCTTATGAATTACTGATCATGTGGGATTGCATTTTCATTATACTTATTACCACTTAATCAATTAAATATATTTTCTTCTCTCTCTTTGTTTTAAGAAGTCAGGAAAGGGAAGTGTATTGATTACTTGTTTTGGACATACGCATTCAGCAGTCTGGAGTCATTTATGTGTTCAGAATGCACAAGAGCTCAAACATAAAATATTAATTACAGTGTGCTGTATAAAATTAAATGTTAACTAAAAACATTTCTGTAGTCGTAGAGCTCTGATCTGAAAAGGAGCATGTAAAAAAACAAATTTCCCCATTCTGGAGTACCATAAAACATATGTTTTTTGGTTTTTTTATAATCTTTTTTATTAGATTAAAAGTACTGTAAAACTAATGCATGTCAAAAGAATACTGGCACAACAATTAAACCTCAAATCCTTTCCCCACTTCCTCCATAAGTACATGAGGCGTTCATAGTTTAAAAATAAAAAACAACTTCATCTAGGAAGGGCCAGACCAAAAAATCAAACAAAATATGACGCAGTTAAACTGAATGTTGTATCTGTATAATGCATATAGGAATAGATTTTGCCCCCTTATTTGCATTGAATGCCACCACACTTCATGAACAGCCCTGTTCATATCAGTGGGGCTACTTGTGGAATATGGTGGCGGAATTGGGTACAAAACTAAATGTATCCAAGTGGTGACCTAAATGTACTTCTGGCAATTGTGACCCAAGAACCCTTAAAGCCAAGGGGATACAGTAATATCAAATGAATCTCAAATGAAATCTAGTGTCTTACACTTCACAATGATATTAATAACCAGTATGTACAGATACTATGTAAGTAGTTATGTATATATACTGAAAACATGTTTTTAGTCTGTATCAAAGTATTAATCACCAGCAAAGGTGAAAAACAGGTTTTCTGTCAGACAGGCGGTAAGAAATGTGTATCTCTGTCAGGATGTAAATTAAGCATTGTGCATGCTTAATTAAGCAAAGTGGATGTATATTTCTAGAAGAAGTCGCATCTTAACAAAGAGATGTGAAGTCAACAGGAAAGCAGCACACAAGTAAAAACAAGCTATGGGTGGCTATCCTGCCTGTAAGCAAAGGCAATGAACTTTTGGGGTATATCTAGAAGACAAAGAAGACACCCACTTATCCTGCACCTCAGAAGTAAACAGAACATTTACGTTAATGAAAATGAGATCTCAGCCAACCTTGATTGAAAACGCTGAAGAGGACTTTGGATAAGATACGCTTTAGACATGAGGTTAAGCTGGTAGTTAAGCTTGGTCTGTAGAAAGCATGTTATGATTTTATTTCATATGTGGCCATTTGTTTCCAATATCCATACTATCTCCTGGATCTCTAGTCTTTGATAATAAACTTACATTTATAGTGAAAACAAGACTATCTGAGTGCTGTGGTGTTAAGCAAAGTGCTGGTTCTGAGCAGATTGTTACAAACTGGTTTGCATACTGTTCTTTTGGGAACAGCAGGCATGGTATTTCTGTAAGTAGCCAGGGGCAGGGGCTCGATATCATAGGGGAACACTTAAAACAGACTCGGGGACAGGGGTGCACCTATTGTTAACCTGCAAGGCAAAGTCAGAGCTGGCATAGCCCAGAGGAGCGTACTTGAGTCGCTTGTGGCCTGAAGGAGTTAGGGAGCTGACACCCAGTTAAACACACGGTCCCTTGTACTGGAGGCAAACACAGTGCTGGGCATCCTGACAACTGTCCAATGATCAGTTTTGCAAAGAAACACCATCAACTTAAAAATAAGCACTTTTGTGGGTTAAAACTTTTTTTAGACAAGAGTTGCAGGGATTGGGACTGAAAGATGCTAGTGAAAAAATACTATTTTTCTTTTTTTTCCCCCCCAGTTTGTTTACTTTTGTGCATTTGATACATTTTGGATATAGCCAGTTTCACCATTTTCCCTCTAGTCAGTTTCATTTTCCACCAACATAAACAGATGAGAAGAAAAACCCTTAAAATTATTCAAAATTGAATTTGTGTATGTTGATCAATTTCAAAACATTCAAGTTGTGTTCTCTTAAAGATATTTTAGATGCAGTTTCTGCTTGTCAATGTACCACTTCTCTGCTTCAAGTCTAGCTCTCCCTACTGTACCTTTGTGTTTTGTGGGCTTGTCTTCACTACGGGGAGTTTGACGCTGCTGCATTCAATGCAGCAGGGGTCGATTTTAGCAGGTCTAGTGAAGTTCTGCTAAATCGACAGCAGAGTGTTCTCCAGGCGACCCCAGTACTTCACCTCTCGGAGACGAGTAAGGAAAGTTGACCGGAGAGTGTCTCCTGTCGACAATGCAGTGAAGACAACGGGATAAATTGACCTAAGCTACGTCGACTCCCGCTACGTTATTCACATAGATGGAGTAGCGTAACTTAGGTCGACTTATCCCGGTAGTGAAGATATGCCCTCTGTCTGTCAAGTGCTGTGAAGTGAAACTTTATTAATAAGGGAGTGTTAAGTGGTTAAAAAATGGGATTGGAAATCAGGGCCACTGGAATCTATCCCTGACTCATTTTGTATCCTTAGGCAAGGCACTTTACTCCACTGGGCCTGTAAAATGGGTACTGCTGTACTTGCATGTCTGTTGGACTTTATGTGTAAGTACTTTGGGGGTCTTCTGTTGAGAGGTGATATAATCAGTACTTTGCATTTCTGTTCTAATCCAGTAAACACCGCTGTACAGCTCGTGGTGCAGAGAATGAAGCTGTGGAACTACACAGGGAGGAGGAGGAGTGTGGAATTAGAGCACAGCAGCAGGCTGTTTTTATAAAAACAAGAATTCCTTTTTCTTCAGAAAGGAACAGACACAATAGAGGCAAAGGAAATGGCAGAGTGAGTCTTGGGGAAAGAAAGAAAGAAAACAACATTCAAAGTTTTTTTTTTTATTTGTTTGTTTGTTTTGTCTTTTGTGTGTCTTGTTTTTTGTTGATGGTTCTGGTACTTGCTGTAATTTGCTGGTTGTGTATCCTCAGCCCCTCTTGTTAAGAAAAGTGAATTAGGTGTTGGTAAATGAATATCTCTGTGGGGTCTTGATGTTTTACTTATTCTTGGGCATACAACTTGGTAAACGACTTTGTACTGTGACCAGAATTTTGCTGTGTGCACCAATAGTGAGGCACCAAAGCCTAGTGGCCTGACTGTCAAGATGATGAACTTCGATGGGTTCCATTGAAGTCAGTGGGTGTCCAGCAACTCTGAAAAACAAGCCTCTCATTTAGATACCTTTGGGCACTCGTGTGTGAACGCGCAGGCTTGTAGTTCCAATAGTTACATTGCCATAGTAGCAGGGGACTTACTGCCATTTTGCAAGACAGGTTTAGACCAATGATATACATTATATACATTGGTTTAATTCGCCTCAAGATGGCTTGAAATGTGGCGGTAAATATATGCTTGTACCACACAAGTTCTAAAATATTCATTGTATTGTTTAATAGAAAAATTCCTCAGCCTTGAAAAGCCTCTGCAGTTTTACATGCTAAACAATTCCTTCTGAAGGGAGTGTTCTAAAGCAGATAAGTTCTTCAGACACATCTCCAGAAATGTAAACAGTCATGGCAATACTACAGTGCTTTAGCTCGTTCTCTCTCTAAAGCAAGTGCAAGCTTAGTTGGCACACGCTGCTACTTGTATAGGAAGGAGAGGTAATTATGATGGAACGAGTGCACTTCAGACTTCAAACACTAGGGAGTTAATTTGCTGTAACATGATTGAAAAAACAAATAAAACTTTTGTAGATTATTTCCTCCTAAAATAGGGATATTCAGCAACTACACACGTTATGACACAATTTCGTTTTAAACATGCAAATATTCAGACACTATGTCCCCTCTTCAAATGTAAGACTGTACAGAAGATGCGTAGGTTGTTTTACAAATCAGTGAGAGTAACAGTAACTTCATAGCAACACCAAGAGGCCAACTGAAAGGCTACACAAGGGAGACAAATTGTCAAGGTCATCATCTGGCACCTGTTACTGCTCTTGTGTTTACTAGGTTGGATCTTTTGGACAACTTGCGTACCACTACCAGTCCTACTCTAGTTTTTATATGTAACGTTTTGGGAGCTTTTCAAAGAATTGGTAAACCTATGAATATTGTAAAATCACTTATTAACACTCAGACACTATTTGAATAGTCTGGCCTTTTTCATCTATCTAGATTCTGATGATATTAGAATCTAGTGCTGCTTATTCTCCTGATAGTAGCGTTTTTAATCATCACTATTTCAAATACCCCCCCCCCCCAAAAAAAAAAAAAAAAAACCAACCAAAAACCATGTTATTTTCCTTTGTGGGACTTACTTCAAATTCACTTTTGTTACTTGTAATGCCTTGCACATTTTGAACACAGTCATGGTTCCATATGAAATACATTTCATATGTATCCTTACGTCTGGATACAATACTGTTCATTAATGCATTTTTTAAAACCACTTTCTTTGTATTTCCTTTTCAGAAATTGTACTGAAGTAGAGAAATTACTTTTTTCCCTTTAATTTGAACACTATAAAAACAACCTCGGTTTTAAAGTTTGCTTCTATACTCTGACATTTTGTGGAGAATTATTTCAATTTAAGGGAAATGTTACATTGTTAAAGTCTCTAGGTCCACTGGAAGATCTATTTATCATAATGGTATGTATCAATAAGATGATTAGAGTTTGAACCATCTTTTCCCCCAGACTTGAACTTTGTCCAGTGCCTTTCAGAAGTTAATCTCCTATTATTGTTTGCAACTTTCACAGTCATTGGAGAACTAAAATAGCAGATCCAATACAGTGATCCATGCTATGCCATGGATGAATGTATTAAATGGTCCAATAGAAGAAGAATGAGGTATAGAACACTTTATGTCTAGGTAACAGGCCGAAATCTCTTCCACGTTTGATAGTGGTTGGAAGTACTTACCATCTGTTAGCTGTTCAGCCTTTGAAAAAGGAGTTGGATATTTTGACTAATTTCCAGTGGATGGTGTCCACAACACCAAACCACCACCTCAGCTGAGAACCCTGTTGGCACTATCATCAACTGAGGGTTGGATGGCCATGGAGATTAATGATCATCTCACTTCAAGAAGTTGTTTAACTCATGCTGGAATCTTACGAGCCATAACAGTGTTTAAACTCTTTTGCATAGCTAGTATAGCTATCCCAGTGTGTACAAGGCCCCTGACTTCTGGTCTAGCATTTTAGAGATCTGTTTAATCCAACAGCTTTTCAGTCCAGGCAGTGATAGACGATAGACTGCCCTTCTTGGAGCCTTTAATTCACAAATTCAAAGAGTGTGGTTTGCAAGATTAATTTGGCATCTCAAAGATGCCGTACCATATCTTCTAATTAAATAAGCTCTTTATACTGCAATTGGTGAATTGCAGAAAAATATAAACCTTAATAAAGGTCTAGTGTGGCAGGTGTCTGATCAGAAATGCTTTGTAGCTAATGGTCTGAAATACTCAGAGGTTGGAAAACTGATCCCCAGTCCCATCCTATCTGACCCACAGTACTTATATGGAGGAACCCATGGAAATTGTATTTAAAACCCTTTATTAACCATCAGACTGTAGTCCAATGTGCAACGATTTTACTAGCATGTTGCAAAATGTTGGTGATGGCCATTCAGATCTTGAGTGCTTTAAAAAAACCCAGCTTCCCCGCCCCAATTTGGGTATATGATAGAATCCAATAACTTTAGTTGCTCATAAATGAAAGGCTTGCTGCTTAAATTGAACACAGATGCCTTTATTTCTGCTTATTTGCATTTTGGGAATGTGACTAGAAGTCTATGCTATTAAGCTGCTGATTGATGTTACCATCAGATGATGGGGCGGGGGCGGCATAGGGTGGCTGCAGGAACAACTGCAAGCATCTGGAACATACAGTGACTGCCATAAATTAGTGTCTTAATACTGAATTACAGTTAAGTCTAGGGAAGAACTTGCTACTTAATAGTTTTTTTTCATCAGTAGATCTCAGTGACTTACAAAGGAGGTCAGGATCATCCCTGTGTTTCAGATGGAGAAATGGAGGCACGGGGATGTACAGTGACTTGCCCGTGGTTACTCAGCATGCCAGTGGTAGTCGGCAATAGAAGCCAGGTGTCCTGAGTCTAGTCCAGTGCTCAATCCATGCAGCCACACTCTGTCCCATTAGTTACTCAGCTACCTCTCTCCAGTGTTGTGAGGATTAATTAGATCTGTTTGTAAAGTGCTCTGAATAATATCAAGTGACATGTAAGTATTATCTGCTGAGGCGCCTTTCTTTCAGAAGACCTGTGATTTTTGGATTGGTCTGTCTCGTTGTTGGAAAACAAGATCGAGGGCCTCAGTCTAAACATTTAAACACTGAGATGACTTAGTAAATTGAATTTTATACAGAGCCTTCCTTTTTACATTATGGCAAAAACTGGTGACCGTTATGCCTGACTTTCTTGAATTTATTTATATGCATTGTGCATGTGGTGTGTGCAAAATAACACATGTTAAAAATCAGCATTAGAATGAAGGGAACCCAGTCGGCTTGAATCTTTTGAAATTGGTTGAAAGTCTTCTTTGAAATAATGTTCCTTTTAAAGCGTTAGCCTTGTGTTCCCATACTGATGTTGAGAAAGGTGCTGCAGCTTGGTAGGGCCTTGAGAGCAGCAACATCAGACACCATGGGCGCTGAGCTTTTCTTTTCCCTGGGAGTGCTCCACCCCTGCTCCACCCTGAGACCCCTCCCCTCCCCCGTTGCCCTGCCCTCTGCTCTGCCCACTCCTCGAGGCCCCTTGCCGCTTGCAATGCTCTCCGCCTTCCCCCAAACCCCTGCCCCAGCCTCCAGTCAGCTGTTTGGCGGTATTACTGATCAGCTGTTTGGCGACACAGCCAATCAGCTGTGGCTGATGGGGGCTGAGCACCCACTATTTTTTTTTTCCCCGTGGGTGCTCCAGCCCCAGAACACCAACGGAGTCGGCACCTATGCCAGATACACTCAGACCTACCTCTCTTAGCCATTTCCTCTCTTTTCCACTCTGTGCAGATGCCTTTCTGCAACCTCTTTGGTTTATGATTAGTAGTAAACAGCCTTCCTCAGGGACTGGGCATGGGTGTGTACATGCATTCCCTCTCAGAGCAGTACATGAGTGATGTCATGCTGGTGCATGAGACAGGAAGTGCAACTGACCATCAACAAAACAGCAAACCCAGTTGTGTGTGAAGGGCTGTCAAATATGCAGGGTAAATGGCAGAAAATACAGAGAAATTTTCTAATCTGTCAGTTTTGGAAAGCTCTGATATTACATGTAACCAAAGTGGGTATAGTTTTCAGGTGGAGCTGGGTTTTTTTGTTTTGTTTTTTGTTTTGGTGATGCTGTTCCTATAAGGTAAACTACACCACTACTGACGTTGAAATATAAACACAGTAAAATAAATTTAAAAAAAATACACACACACACACACACACACACACACCTCCCTCCACCCCGATATAACGCTGTCCTCGGGAGCCAAAAAATCGTACCGCATTATAGGTGAAACCGCGTTATATCGAACTTGCTTTGATCCGTCAGAGTGCGCAGTCCCCTCCTCCCCCCCCGGAGCGCTGCTTTACCGCGTTATATCCGAATTCGTGTTCTATCGGGTCGCGTTATATCGGGGTAGAGGGGTGTGTGTGTGTGTGTGTGTGTGTGTATATGTGTGTGTGTATATATATATATCTGTGTGTGTGTGTGTGTGTATAGTGTAGGTGTATTAGGTGAAGTTGGATGTCTACTTCTAGACTCTTTTTTTTCCCCAGTTAACAAAATATGCTGCAGCTATCGCTCCAACAGAAATTATGGACGTGATGTAGGAATTTCTG